GATGCCTTGAAGGCATTAGGTAGAAACTTCTCAGGTGATTTCTTTGGCTGGCTTTTTGCTTGAGCAGTTGCTACCTCTAGATGCTTGTTTCTGTGTTTTCACAATACTCGAGCAAACTTCTATATGGCTGTGTGATGAAGGAGATGGAGGATTGATTTAGTTAAATATGACCATGCAAAGATAGTTATATTTTGGTCTTTTGGTTCAAGTGATGGTACAACTGCTTACATTCTTCTGGCTGAATTCAGTCTGAGACCATGGGTCTGAGCTCCCTAGGCACGTGTAGGGAGACAAAAGCAGAGGAATCTCTAGAGGCTTCAGTTTTGACCTCTGAGCTAAATAACTTGTGGATAATCCCTTACCAGTGTAACAAGTGTTTTTAGAAATACTGAGATGACTGATGCCTCGTCATACTTTCCAAACATTTGAGACTTTGTCAGCGTCTTAACTTTTCTTAGATGTTGTTTGTACTGTGATCAAAATGTGGCTGCAGATCACAAACAGAGTAATAAACATCTGAGAAAGAGGACATGGGGAAAATGGACTTTGTAATTACTAGGCATGATTTTACAATCAGTAGTACATTTTGCTTTAAATATTCAGCATAGACAGGAAATAGAAGTAGGAAGTGAACTTTTCATTGGTCTCAAATGAAAATTGACTTAGATGAATTCAGGAGCCTGCTTGCTTGCTGCTGAAATGTCTTTGTTCCCAGTCAGTAACAGAGCCATAAAACTCAGAAAAGCATAGCCCCTTTTCAGTACTCTTGAAAATTTTTCTGTCTCATATGTCAGTGTTGCTAACCAGGTGACTGTAAAATATCACTGTATTTTGATGTGAGTGAAGGGCTGGTGGGAGAAAGGGACCCCTCTTCTTTGGTAGGGCTCAAAGAAATGACAGGCAAATACAGGGTAGCATGTCAGAGATGGAAAATTCTGTGGAAGTTTCACAGATTTCTTCTGAATTGAGTGGATGACTTCATGGAAACATCTAATCTTGTGTCTGTTATAAGGATTTGGGATGTGCATGTGTGAACTTTCTGCCACATGAGTTATCAACTAACTCACTGAATCTCCCTCAGTTCTGTGTGCTTAAATCAGTAAAAATGGGCTTTTCTTTGTAGTGTGCCTATGAAAGGTTTTAATGTAAAGCTTCAAGTGGTTACTGCAGTGCAATGTAGTGGTAGCCTTTCTTCCTTGCAGTCTGAAAAAGGTGTGTGTTGTTTTCCTTCCAGCAGTCCCTAGTGAGAGCAGGTAGTCTTAAACATCTCAGCCACTGTTGCCCCCATGCTGGCCAGAAGGAGAGTGCTGTGCTGACAGAGCTGCTAATTCTGCCCTGATTCAAGGAAGGGATAACCCATTATAGTCTGCTTATCTTTCTCCAACTTGTATGTGGATCAACACAGAGGTGAAGGGTAGAAAGGAAGTGATCCTTCAGCAGAGTGGGAGCAGGGGTCTTGGCAGGGGGAGCGGCCTGCCCATTAGCATTATGGCAGCAAGCATCTACATACACTGAGGTTTTGAGTCTTCTCATGGTTGATGAGTTTCAAGAGATACAAGGCCATGGAAAAAAGCATGGGTTTCTGTTTGCCTGAGTTTAATGAGTCCTTACTAAAGGCTCAGTGCATAGACTCCGACCTGTTTCACTTCAGGTGTCAGGTATGTTTGAACTTTAAGTGAAACATTAGCTAATGCATGTCTGGATTTTTTTTCCTTCAAGAGGCCCTAAGTTTCCAAATACTTTCTGGGATGTGAGTCTTTACTGAGGTTTTCCATTACTGGATTTTGAGAACTTTTGTCTGTGCCACTTGTATTTTCTTAAAGCAAGTAACAAGGTTGGATTCAGTCCATTGTGTGAGAAGAAGAATGTGTCTGTATTCCCTGGAGCTATCTGCCCTCTTGGAGGAGAACTTAAACTTTAAGGGAGGTGCTTACTAAAATGAACTGCTAGCAAATGGAGATGTTCTTGTGTCTACTTTGGAGAGAGGAGGAGTGTGTGTCAAGTCTCAAACTGTTGAGGAAAAAGAGTGCATAACAAGCTAATTTTTTTCCCCTGCCTCCTCCCCTCCCTTTTTTATGACCCCTTTTAAAATTAAATAGGGAAGATAAACTGCTGGAAGTTAAATTTGCTCACCTGAAGTGCAAAAAGGAAAGGCAACAAACATCTGCATTCTAAATGGACTGAAATCACTAGGTATATTAGAAGTTAAGTTGTGTTTAGGTGAGTACCCTCAAACACTAGGATCACTTTTTCCTCGACCGCAAAATCTGGAGGATTTTATCAGGAGCTTCAAGCAATTGTTTGGTGAAGCTGATTAGACACAGCTGTCATCTGCTAAGTAAGCACTTAAAGTTAGTAAAAATTTCTCCTTTTTTTTTCCATTTTATGTATGTTTGGAAAAGAACTTAGTAGGTGGTAAAGTACAAAGGATAAAGTACACAACTTCATATTTCTGTAGTTTGGGTATTACTTTTTATAAAATCACTACACCTAAGGCATGCTGCTGGACATTGTCCACTTCTGCTCCATCCCTGTGTGAATATTTTGGTATAATGTCCTGTAAACGGGATGTGGAACTGCTGGAGCCATGTTCGACTTCATTTACTGGAGTTTTGGAAACGTATGTACAAATTCTAGCTGCTTGTAAAGCATATGTTCATGTGCACCATCTTCCTTCTTTTTTTCTCATGAGACACGATTAATTTAATCTCTCTGAACTTTATCCTAAAGTCTAAATACTCTGGATTAAGCACAATACTAGTACTTGTAATACTGCCTTTTGTTTATTGGTCTTGCTGCATTACTTTTCCTGTGCTGTTAATCTGGAACTATTCAGAATAGCCTTAGAGCTAGCTAGTTATTCTATGTTTCTTGGTAGTGCATGAACTTGTATGCAGAATGCATTTTTTTGATGCCTTACTATGCAAGTTATTCCCGTTTTGACAAAAACAAGCACTGTTCCAATGAAGATTTCAGACACAAACCCTGGTATATAAACCCTTCTGAAGTGGAGACACACTTCAGTGGAGAATCTCTAAATGGGATGCTTGAATGGTCTGTGGCCAAGTAAATAAATATTTCCTCAGTTTCAAGAAACATGGCACACAGCTGTTCCTCACTCCTTGTTATAAAATAACGGGCCATTTGCTGACTGAAGCAAGCTCTTGGCATTATTACTAGCAGCTGCTGAACTCTTAGTGTTAACTTAAACAGCTCATAAATGTTAATTATGTTGCAGTTTTGTTAGAGCTCATCTGCATATCCCAGAGGCACTAGCTAATATGTCATGCTTTTTTTCCACATGAACTGATGACATTTCTTAGTGGAGATTCCAAATAATAACTTCCTAAGTAAGTTCAGTAATATTACTGTAGCGGTGAAAGTTTCTTCAAAACTGCTCTTTTGACTACAGTTCCACTAGTACTAGTATAGCTTTGCTTAAATGTGTTCCAGTAGGCTCAGAGGTGCTGAGCATGTGGTGGAATGAGTGTGCAGCACAAGGGAATATGCTGGGTGCATAGTGACCTGTTGTTGGGAGATCTGTGACAAAGTTAAATCCAAAGCCAAACGGAACAAAATCTGTTGAGTTTATCCCATGCTTTGGTTTAAAATCACCTTCGTAGTTTTATCGTTTTGCTCCTATACAAGTGTGAAAAGTTTACACAAAATGTTTACAGGCTACTGTAAAAATGTGTGTAATCTGCATAATAACCACTTAAGTGATGTTTTGGGGCCTTGTAACAGTCCCTCCCACTCTTCAGCCAGTGGGGATGTGTTCTCAGAAACAAAGCTCCCAAACAAACTAATCCTTTTTTCCCTTCAGGTCAGATTCTGCTAGTGTTCTTTGTAGAAAACACTCATAAACTTCCAGAGCTTGGTTTTGGGACTTTTGGTTTGTCAAAATGATTGTGAATATAGCATGAATGAAAGCATAGATAATGAAATGACAGCTGCTGTATTATCATAGAAGTTTAACTTTTTGATTTTCGTCATTGTGACGATCAGAAAGAGGACAGTGTTGTTGCTAGTGCATCCTATATAGTACAGCATCTAAAGTTGTTCTCTTGTCCTTATTTTGTGGTCGTCCAGTGGAACTTTTTCTCTCAAGGGCAGCAGTATATGTTTACCAGAACTACACCTTGTGCTTAGATGATACACTCTCTATCAAACTAGTTGGAATTGCAGGTAGTCTGGGCTTCTTGTATCAGCATGTTAATCTGGTGACAATGCAGCCATTCCCATACAAACCTATATGCTCTGCTGTGTATTTGGATGGCTGTTTGGTTGCATGCATGTGTGTTTTTCCTTCTCAGGGTTCTTTCCTGGCTGCTTGTAGAGGAATTTCTGTTCCTGAAGTGGTGTGCAGACAGGGACAAGTATTGCAGATTGATGTTAAATGGATCTAATCCTGTATGGTGGGGGGTCCCAAATTGAGCTGGAACATCTTGGTCTTTTTAAGATAGATTTCATGCAAAGAAGTATGGTAGGGGGTGAGGAAGATCAAAATATGACCACTTGTTTGGTTTTTCTGTTTTTTGGGGTGGTGAAAGTATCAAATCAATGCTATGTAAGGCTAACATCAGACCATATGGAAGTCTGTGAGCAAAGGTTTGATCTCACAACATTGTCATCTTATTTTCAGGGACAGAATTAAATATTACTCTTCTTCAAAGAAATGGGTGTGAAAATTGGTTTCTGTATTTGCTCCTAAAAGCCTGGAGGAATATTGGATAGCTCAAAATCTAGTAGCTTTTGGTTAGAAATTAAACAGAAAACTTCTTGGGAAGGTAGAGGGGGACTCGACTATGTGAGGTTCAGTTATAATTCAGTATTGATGTTTTGATGCAAAACATGATTGCAATAAGAATTCTGGATTTAAAAAAACCCAACTTTAGAGTTCGCTTATTTCTAAAGTAGTGGTGTAGTTTATTAGACCTAGTATGGCCATCTCACTATCAATTCTGGTCACATTTTTTTCAGTATTTTTCAATGGGTTTTTAGTTTTTGTTCATTTTTTCCTTTTATTTTTCTTTCAAAGGTCCACCTAAAAATTCTACTGTTGCCCTTGATTTCTGCCCCATCTACATGCATGTCTCATACAGCAGATGGAGACAGCTTGTTGAGATTACGTAGAATTTCACATATACAGAGTGGTACTTAAAAGAAATAAGAAAGAAAAAAACACCCAAATTAATTCTCAGTGGTGATCCCAAGTGTCTTGTTTTGAGTCTGAAAGTAAATTTCCTGTGCTACATCTTTAAACTGAGAATAGAAGCATACTCGAATGAATTCAGGAAATTAATTAAGAAAATGGTGACTTGAATATTGGCCTTCTTCAAATTCTGTTTCAGAAATACCTTGTTGTGGCTGCACTCCAAATTGCAACTTGAGTTTTTCCAATCACATTGCCTGTATTTTGGCTTTGGTGTGAATTGAGTGTTGATGAAAAGCATAACTGACTTGGATGAAATTTTGACACATGTAGAAAGGTGTGTACCTGAAAAATCATGGCTAATGATGTAGTCCTAAGGCTGATCAGTCTCTGGACCAAAGCAATGAGATAGACAAAAAAGAAACAAATTGTCCTGAGTAAGAAGCTTTCATTGTTTTTGTTTGTTAATTCTGTAACATACTCAAAAGTCTGAATGGATGACCTAAATATTACTGCAAATCTTGTTGTTCCAAGCCTCTGAACAAAGGAATAAATTGATCTTAAACCTTAAGTCCTGCATTCAAGGATTTGACTTTAGATTTGTAAAGGACTTTAAGAAAGCAATAGTTAAGGGAGGTTAACATACATAGCGTGCAACATAGCATGCAACGATATATGGTGTACAGTGATTTCTTTGCAATCTGCATTTTGCAACCCAAAGAGGATAGTGAACTACCCAAGTGCTTGTCTGTCCAGATGGGGAGGGCGCAGCACCAGTATCATTTTTTGTATTATTTGTGAGGCTCATAAGTAGAAAAAAAACCAATCAAGTTGATTTGGCAGAAACTTGTGTTTTAATAGGCAGTTTGTGTGGGGAGAAGAAAAGTTGTCAACAGTTTTAATAATGTTTTCTCTTTTTTTTTCCCTCTTGCAGACCTTCAAGTGCTGACCTTCTTGGTCTATTAAGTTATTATAAACTTTTGCTGCTCTGCGAACATATAAAGATGTCTCGCAGCCCTGACGCTAAGGAAGACCCTGTGGAATGCCCTCTTTGCATGGAGCCTCTGGAAATTGATGACATCAATTTCTTCCCTTGCACCTGTGGCTACCAAATCTGTCGTTTCTGTTGGCATCGTATTCGCACTGATGAGAATGGACTTTGTCCTGCTTGCAGAAAGGTAAATCCCTGGAACAGCGGCTTGTCTTGCATATTTCACGAGGCTCTTGCATTGTGTTGGTACCAAAGACATCCTTTTCCTTGAGGGAAACAATCATCTAGTCATGCTCTAGATCAAGGGTGAGGTGTTGGATCTTTCAGATTCTGTCTGCATGTGTGTTGAAGCTGTTATGAAGCAGCTGATCTTGGTTTGTTAAATTCAGATCCAGATTGATAGGGGAAGCTGTGGATCAGAACCAAGGCATATGCTGAGAGAACTGCCGAAAATAAAAATCCTTTGAGTTGGGATGTTCGTGCATTAACAAAGTCTTTTCAGGAAGAGCAGTGAGGATTCCATCAGGGGTTTGCTGAGAGCTAAGTTTCAGCTAAACTGAACAGAGCTGACTGAGCTTGTTTTGTTTGTGGCACTGGAGCTTTAAATCCATATTTTAGTGGGTAGAAAATGTGTAAAACCTTTGGAAAGTTATCCAGCGGTGTTAAATTTTGAAGCATTTCAAAATCTAGACTCTCTTTGTCTGGTATTCTAATCTTGTTGCCAAATGCTTGAAGGTAGTACTTGGCATCTCCCTGTGTCTTGATGCCTGGCTGATTTGGTTGGCCACAACTGTAAACCTCAGCTTCACTAAGTTGCCTGTTATTTCCTTTGAATTAGTTTATTTCTCCTTCTAGTGTTTTGCTTAAACTCATTTTTTCCTTATCTTCAGTGTTTAATAAAATTATTTTTCGGTTTCTTCTTGTCTTTAATGACTTACCTGGGTTATAACTTTCTTGCCTAGCATTTCTCTTCTTGTAGTTGAGCTACTTACATCTTCTCCTATTATTCAGTCATGATCCTGTCCCTAGTTTATGCCTCTTTTGTCTTCCTGTCTCATGTTACAGCTTCCTTTTCAGACCCCAAGTAATCTTACTTGGTCTCACTATCTTTATTCACTGCCACAGTATTTTATAAGCACTTGCAGTCATATTTTCTTACTGCTCTTTTGGGCTTCGGCTATACTAGTTATAAGAATTACTATTCACCTGTTTTTGGATGCCTCTGCAAGCCTGAAGGCTCTCCCACAGCACCACGTTTGTTTAAAAATTCTGCAAATTTGCTGCAATATTTGAGCTCTGTGTTCTACAAGGAAGATCCACATGTCATCTGCCCAATCGTTCTCCACTTGGGACACCTGCTGTAGGTGACACATGGTGTATAGTAATTTCCCATAGTACAAGAAAACTTCTACTCTTCTGATACGACATGAGATTTCTGGGATTTCCTTGTCTGTCTAAGTCACTTTGTTTTCCTGGATTTGTTACACTGCTTTTTACTTGTTTGTTACTGGAAGTTTGTGAAATGTAGTTGAAGAAACACAGAAGCAGTGTGCTATTCACTTTGGGTGTCTGAGTTTTTTGAAATATACTGAACTCTTAAATGTGGAATACTCTGCCTTATGATTGGATGTGCAAATATTTTGCCGAATTGGATACAGTTTGTTCAGAAAAACTGTTTCATGAGGAAACGTCGAATAAGTGCTACAATTGGAATGAAAAAATACTGACAGTTCCCGGAGAGAAAGGAGACATCTTTCATAACAGACAAGGATTATGTTGGTACTTTCTTCATCCATGGACTGCAAGATATTCTTGAGGAGATTTGGAGCTGTGTCGCTGGGTTGTAAGAGGTTGGCATGAAGAAGGCTGGCTGAGGTTCTTCTGTGGCATAGACAAAGACATTGTGATACAGAGACCGCACCAGGATTTTGGGAATAAGTCATCTTGAGCTACAGAGTTGCAGCATTAAATAAGTGAAGATGCCATCTTTTGAAGTGTGCTGGACAGAAGGAACCAGGTATGTGTATTTGTGTTCAGTGTGTCTAAGTAGTCCCTGTCTGTGCATAGTAGGGCTTCTGGGGAAAGATCTGAGCATTTTTTCTATTCGTAACTACTATGGTGTGCGTTGGTTGTGGCCACTTAAACTGCTGAAGAACAGAACATGGCAAAGCAACAAAATTTTAGCAAGGAAGTTTGTAGTAGGTACAGTGATTTCAACAGGTGTGCCATATTTTTATAATGAGGATACTTACTGTGAAATGGACTGTAGATAAACATCTATTAAAACAAATCTGCTACTTGTGCCAGTGTTATTGAATGCAGTGTGACTTTCCCAGTAATTTGAGCACTAGTCCATGGACAGGAGCAGTGAACAAGTTGCCTTTCCAGGGGTTTTGATGGAAGTGTTTGGGAGAGATTTTGGAGAAGTCTGTAATAAAATAGCTTGGCTAAATGCTATAGTGGCACCTTTGCCGTTAGATCTTAACTGTGTGCTGCATATATACTATTATTTTCCTAAACTTCTCTAATTCACATTGAACTGAAAAGATGTTAGCTTGTGGTTTCATTTACCTGGGAGAGAGTACTTCTACATGTTACCTAGCTTAACATCTGCACATGCAGAATATGTTCATGTGGTTGCAGTCCATTGATTTAGTCTGCCTTAAGTTTCCTCCTGTGAATAATAGTAGTACACAAACATTTGCTTTAGTAAGGTGCTAGTGTGAATTAAATGCTGGTTGGAAACTGGTACTTCTTAGTATTAACATATTAAAAGCTTTCTAAACTTTTCAAATCTTCTGAAATAGACTCGGAAAAGAGTCTATTTCTACAGAAAATGTCTATTTAATTAATTCACTGCAAAAATATCTACTTAAAAAATGGAACTATCTTGCTTTGGATTCCTGATGCCCTTCGGAATTGTAGGTGTAGTCAATTGTAAGATACTAAGCAAGGCTTCCTGTTTTTTCCAGTTAATTGATTTCTTAACTGAGAGTGAAATAGCTGCTAACTAGTCAAATTAGAATGAAAATATGCTGTCTTCGGAAGATATTTCTGTAGTGAAAGCTGGTTTGCAGATCGGCAGACTTGCTGGTTCTAATTGTAAAGCTAGTGATTCTTGTCTTTGCAGTGATATTTCTATTTTCCTTTCTGTAAAATTCAATAGTCTAGGTCCTGTTTGTCATGTGAATAGTATATACCATCTCAGTTGCTTAATTAGAACATGCCACTCTCAGCCCTTAATGTCAGTTCCTGTGCTTTTTAAATCCAGCAACAAAAAAGCCTAGCTTGTTCATGTTTCTTAATTATTGCTCTTTCACCAAATAATATAATTTGATACACAGTTGTTCCTGTGGTGTGGCTTTGGCTTTTTCTCCAAGTTCCTTGACTGAGCGACCTTTATTTCTCCTAGCAGCTTGTGTTAGAGGTGGAGGGAAGTAGTATACTGCTAGATGTATGATCTAGAAATTAACATGCTTTAAGCATGTTTTTGTCCGTGTTTCTCTGTTTCTACTATTTCTGTGTAGAAGGAATACTTAGTCTTAATGCACAGTCTCCAAATATCAGTCTTTCCTCCTATGCTTTTATTGCCACAACTGAGTAGTTTGGTGCAACAATTGATATTTTGAAATAGATAAGAAATTGCTTTTTGAAATATGTAAGCATAATGGTGTATACTGTGCATAAACCTTATTGACTTTCTTTGTATTTCTTGTTTTAGGACCTACTTGGTAGCAAGACAAGTGGGAAATGTTGATGCATCCATTGTGTGGAAGGAATGTGACCCATCTGGAAATGACAAAAGCAAAGTGCTTGATAAATCACAACTCAGCTTTGAACAATTGAGAAATGGGGAAAAAGTCTGAAAGAAAACAAACTTTAAATAACAAGACAAAATTAGTCAGGAAGACTGAGAATTCATCAAGGACCATCTCTGATTAGAGAAACAAAGACTTCAAAAGACACTCAAACTTTTGCTGAAGTTCTTGTAGGGACTACTTTGCACTTAGTGTAAAGAAAATTTGGTCATATTCCATGATGACACACTTGTTTGGGTAATCTCAATGGTTTTTTTGTGAAAAGCATTGGTATAACTTAAGTGAAAGGTGTCAGTTCAACTTAGTGAATCAGTGATGTTGACATCTCCGAATGTCTTGCATCAGAAAATACATCAATGCTGATAACATTTGAGGTAGCTACTTTGGATCTCAGATCCTTTTATCAGCTAAGGCATTAGAGACAGTATGTTAAGGAAGAATATTGTTTAAAAATCAATAAGATGTGGGCATGTCAGTAGCATTTCCACTTTAGTTGTTGCAAGACCTGAGAGCTTCTGACATGTGTAGTCCTCTGTCTACTTCTGATTTGTAGGGTTAGACAGCGTAAACAACACACCACATGGTGCTGTGAGTACACCAGCTGTCAATCCACCTTGCTTGGCTTCCAGAGACTTGTTCAGCAGTCTTCAGTGCACACACCTGTTTGTAGTTGAACCATCATCCAAGTTCATGAACTTCAGCACTGTGGGAAGCAATGACTCTGAAGATGAAATAATTTATTTCCCTGTCTGTAGACTGATTTTTGTCCTTTATTTGAAAGGAAAGTGATTGCTAATACTACTTTTTTAGAATTAGTTTCTGAAATGCTGATGCTGTGCTTATTTGCCTTCCCCCTCTTTATATGTGCAATGTCTCCTAATTGGATATTATGCCACACACGATACATAGATTGGAAAATCATCTACCCCTCAGTTGTGTTTGGGTTATTCTTGGGTTCAAGAGATGTGTGCAGATTCATTTACAGGTTCTGCAAGTCAGCATAACTAGTTTTATTCCTTGGGAGCATTATAAGCATGTCATATGAGTGATATACATACAAAACATGTATTTAGTACAGCTCTACAGATATCTGGTGAGAACTTTGGAAAATCGTTGCTCAAACAAGTGTGGTTATCCATAGTGGCAAACCAATTACTGCTGCTACTTAATGATTGAAATTCCTATTTGGCTAGCCTCAAGCTTTCTGCTGCGATGGAAACATTTCTCTTCCCCTGATTCTGAAGCTGCAGCCTTGTTGTGTTCCTACTAGGAGTTTTTATGCTTTCTTGTAGAAATGCAAACTAGTATTTGGACACAAATGTTCTGTCCAGGGCTATGCTTGAACTACCGAGGATGTTTCCTGATTGATGTTCAGGACCTCCAGCAGCAAATAGCAGTACAGAGAAGAAATAGCCTGTCTGACTTGCTACTCACATGAGAATATGCTCTGAATGTGGCTATACTTGTCAAGAAAGAAGCTGATAAATTTTGGCACTGTTTGCTGCAGTTTCCTTGGACCTTCAGGAGCCTTACTGAACCTTCTGAAAACCATTAATGCATTTCTTGCACGGTACCGGAGAGCAGCACTTTTGCTAGTTTTGCTTTGTATGGGATGTGGAGTAGGAATAAATCTTGGAAAGAATGGATTGTGGGTATGATAGGATATCACTTGATGTAGGGCAAGCCATATTTTTGGAACTATATCTGTTATACTAGTGCACTTTTCTTCCCATTGCTACCTGAACTCACTGATAACTGAGTTAACTCACTCTTTGCCCCGAGTAGTCTTTCTTTCCTGTAAAAACACAACATTTTTATTCTTCAGTTTACATGATTGACTAATACAGATTTTGAGAAGCTCATTAAGTGTAAAATTATTCTGCATCTCAGAAGTCCTCATACGTAGATGTGCTAAAATACAAGATAATAGTCTGTAGCAAATCTCAAGTGACCTTACTAGTTGGTCGTTGTTTATCAAGTACATTCTGAAATCTGTATAGCATATTCAGTGTTAACTCCGAGTAACATATCCTTTTGAGAAATGTTACGATTTTGATTGTTCTTCAAGGGTAGCTTGAGTCCTTATTGTGTTTTCATGTTAAGGACACCTTCGGCTATGGCTAAATTATCTTGCACGTTTAAATTCCTTTGTGATACTGAAACATGTTCCAGAGCACTTGATGTTTGACTGTGAGATGCCATCTGCTCCAGTCAACTGTAGCATATTTTCAGAAGGTATCTCATGTGTAGCATGACGATACTGAACTTTAAACTGAAAAATGGATCTTGGTTTGCTGGGCATGCACTCAGAAAACTGTAAGGTCTAAGCACTTGGTGGCTCTTTGAGTAGCATCATGCAACTATGAAGAAAGATACTCTTTTAACTAAACATTTTCATCTGCTCTAGATTTTTCTCAGGTTATTTAGTATGACAACTAGTTTTGTACTCTCATCATTAACACAGGACAGTCAGGAAAAAGTTAAATTCATTTTTGTTGGACTTGTACACTGAAACCTCTGATTATGGTAGTGCAAGCAAAGACCTAGTTCAAAATACTGGTGAGCTTGAGCTTTGCTTCTATGTCTTAAGTCTTAATTCACATCTTCCATGCTCTTCTCATTTTTTACTTTTTGGTATTTAGAAACTCTTCTTTTTACTTGAGATATTTTATGTACTTGTTTTTATGCTTAGCATTGTTTTCTGTGTACGGTGTGAAACCTGACTTTTCAGTCTGAAAAAACTGGGACAGGTAAGGAATGTGGGACTGCTTTGAGGAGTAATCTGGAGCAGAGGACAGTGCACTGTAGTCTGCAAGACCCAGCTAAAATAGTGCCTTTCTAGCATGAATAGAGCAGTCTTTCTAAGTAACTCTAAAGATACTTGTACATCTCTTGTATACTTTTGAGATTAAAATATACAGTGTTATATCTGTGTTTGAGAAGTTATCGGTAGGGAGGGAGAGACCAAATTTCAAACTGGTTCATAAGCACGGCAAGAATACTGTTAAATCAGCATGCATTAATTGTGTTGAAATCTGTCTCTTCACTAGAAATTAACCATGTAAAATTTAAGTAGTATAGTGGTGTTACTGTCTTGAACTTAGTGGACCACTGAAACTACATTTGTATTTTGATTTCTTACCTCAGTCTTGAGTACATTTAAGTACCCCGATCTGTATTAATAATACAGATAAATAGTAAGACAATAAAGTGCATGCTTTAATCCTGCTTACACTAAGCTCTTGTTAGTGAAATTATAACAGGATGCCATGTTGCAGCTGCTTGTAATATTACCAAATTGACTAGTCAGCTGGGTTAGAATGTATGTTGTTGTTGCCCAAATCAATAATTATGCCTATAAATAGAAGAATTCTGTGAAAATATGAAAGATGTTTACCTTTTCCAAAGGACTGAATATGCTTCTCTAACGTGGGTGGCCATAAGAATCAGATCAGTGTAATGATGAAATTTTTGCATTAAAACATGATGATGAATGGTTTTCAAAGGTGTTGTTTCTTATATGGGTTGATTTTAATGCTGTTTGTTATGTTTAGCCATATCCAGAAGATCCAGCAGTGTACAAACCACTCTCCCAGGAAGAGCTGCAGAGGATAAAAAATGAAAAAAAACAGAAACAAAATGAGAGGAAACAGAAGATATCAGAGAATCGCAAACATTTGGCCAGTGTACGGGTTGTACAGAAGAACCTTGTCTTCGTGGTAGGGCTGTCTCAGCGCCTAGCAGATCCAGAGGTGAGCAGTTCACACTTGCAGATCTTGCTCTTAACTTGCTACCATGAAACACTGGAATACCCTCGTGTCTCCCTGAAGGGTACAAAATGAAGCAAAGGTTGCTGCCATGAGGCTGCCTCTTCTTAAGGGACCTTAGCTTCCTCTTCCATAATAACCTCAATAACCGTTTGTCTCTATTTTAGGGAGTACAGGTGGTCTGTGTTTTTTTGGGGTTTTTTTTGGGAGGGAAGGAAGTTGTTCTTTGTTTAATAATAGGAAATTGGTTTTAAACTAAAAATAGGCATAAGGACTTTTCAGGTACTCATTTTCCGAGGTTGAATCTGCTGGTGCTATACAGCTATGTCATGAATCATCCATTCTAAAATGGGAGCTTGATTGGACTACAGAGGACTGATATACAGTATCACACAGACCTGTAGGGACAGAAGAAAAAAAGCCAACACTTGGAAGTATATACTAGGAAGAACCATGAGGATTATGTCCTTAAGAAGTTATGGGGAGAAAGTTATTAAGAGGAAGACCCTGGGAAAAGTTAGCTTACTACTCTGCATCATCAAAAATAAGGTTTCCTTTTGAGAAAACTGATGATATTTAAAATGCTTTATTTTCTTCCATCATCAGTGATGGCTATAGGTGGCCAGTGGAGTAAGTGCTAATCATAAGAGTGTCGTCAATTAGAGTATGGAGGAAATGTACTACAGGATAAGACAGATGTCTTCAAAATTATTGTGCCAGATCAAATTCACATGATCTGGTGAAGAAGTCTCAAACAGAAGTGGCTGTTTCTGAAGTCTCAGATATGACCTGTATTTTGGCAAACTGTTAAAGAACAAATGTAAAAAGCTGCTTTTAGTGAAGGAGAAAAAAAGTAATGATAAGGAGGGATGAGAAAAAAATCAAGTTAAAATTGATTTGGTGAAACATACTTCAGTATATACTAAAATACAGCAGCAAGTATTTGCAAGCAAGTGTCAGCACTGGCTTGGGGCTATTTATCATTGAAAAATGCACTATGAATTTATTATTGAAATTTAATTTCTTTCACCAGATGGAGGATTTGTAATTAAGAAAAATAGTTGTAAATACAGTTGGTTTTTTTAACACCTCATAGTTTTACACGGAACACTTGAAGTAACTAGGAATGGTTTATTTAGGGCGTGGGGATGTGCTGTACTAGGTAGCAGTATTCTCAATGACATAGCAGAAAACGAAGGTTGCATATAGCACAAGGTGACTTGATCTTCAGGAAACCTAGCAAACATAGCCTGAGGGAGATGAGCCAAAAAGTATACAATATATTCAAGTTTTCTACTTATGTAGGCAAAAAAACTCCTTCAGAAATTGAGATTATTTGGAGTAGGAGCTTAGCTGCTATGTGCTGTTTCTGGAGAGAGGTCTGTGGATCATAATGGAATACAGGTGGATTCTCTTCACCTGTTGATATGCTCTTAGGAGAATTGTGAAGGCTATGCTGTCATATTGTGTCAGGAATATAATCTGCAATATGCTTGGGTAAAAGGGAAGTTTGTTTAGGATTGTCACTTTTCTAGAATGATGCCTGGAGGTTGGATGTAGTATGTTTCAAGAGGGTCTAGACCAAGTGAAGAGCAGTCAGAAGAGACCAGTGAATGAATGGTTGTCTATACCACATACCCTGTAGTTATTTGGGATGTTCCAAGTGTGATGCTGTTCTTGAAGGCAGTGGTGCTTGCTTGGGAAGGGAGAGGGGTACTTCAGTTCTTGGATCAGTACAGGTTAACTGCATATCTGATGCTAACATGAAGATGGAGCACGGGGAACACGTTTTCCTTTATCCCTCTCAGGTTATGATCTAGAACTAGAAATGCCCTTATTTTGTCCAGCTTCAGTCTGAGTAGTCAGTGCTTTTGTACTTTCTTCCATCGAAGAAATGGGGAATAAAAGGCTTTTGGTATAAATGTGTCAAATATGTTGCCAGTTTCATTGGCACACAGGTAATGGTTATTCAGCAGAGTTGCTTAATATGCTGGTGATGTTCTTGCTTTGCACAGGATCCCTAAATGATGTGTTAGTACTGATTCCAGGAAGGGCAAGACAAGTCCTTTATGGATGTAATAGTCACTCATTCATTTCAACATGATGTTGATTCTGAAATGTTTGTTCTTGTCCCTGGAAATTTTCCTTTATTGTCTTCCTTAGTCTGATCTTTGGAAAACTTGAGATTATCTTGAGCTAATTGGTCTACTCCCTTTTTCTTTGGAGTGTGGGGCATGGCAGTCAGGATTCAGCATTTTGTACTTAGTAATTAATATCGTTGAATGCAAGTTTAAGGTGTATGGTTATTTGGAAATGGGGAATGAGTGTGATTTTTATTTTTAAAATCAAATTATAAATCAGATTATACAGGAACTTTTTTTGGTGAATGGGATATATTTTGCCACGGTGGGATTTGGGTAGTCAGAGTACTGAAAGAATTTTTAAAAATACAGCATGAAATGTAGGCTATTAGTCAGTAAACTTCAACATTGACAACATACTTTATATTGCAAGTAACTATGTTTTTACGTGGGAAAACAAATCTAAATCTTTGTGCTCTTCTTTTCAGAGTGACCTGTTTTTGATGAGTTAAAGATTTTAGCTCCACAGTTTCACAGAAGAATAAGTTTGTATGAATTACAAGTATACTACTTGAATTTTTTTTCTTGTAGGTTTTGAAACGACCAGAATATTTTGGGAAGTTTGGTAAAATACATAAAGTTGTCATTAATAACAGTACATCATATGCAGGCTCACAGGTAAGTCAGAGGTCTTTGTAATTTTTTTAGTTTTAATTCCTTTAGAGAATACATGTGTGCAGAGTGAACCTAGGGCTCCCTATTTCTGATTAAGCAATAGGTAAGAGTGTAAAAAGAAAGAAGGCTTGCAGGAATCAAATTACTGTTAAGTTACTGAGGCATTTTCCAACGAGACTCAAACTTGGATGCAAAATGGAATGTAGAAAGATTGAAAATTGGGAGACAGGATGGGAGACTTTAAAGAAGCAGCAATATGACATTTAGTCACTAGTTTTAATTTTGGGGATAAAATGCCTTTTAAGTATTTTTAGAACATTCATGCAATATACTGATGCTTTTCTTCATTCTTTATGCATCACATACGAGTTTTTATGGCTTCTACCTTTTTTGTCAGTTTCTGGTTAAAAACATCAAGCCCTGAATATACCAGTTTATGAAGTGAGCGGCTAAAAAGGTGATGCAATGATTAAATCTGTCTGGGGAAAGAAATGCAAATTAATAGTGTATGTTTTCTTCCTAGGGTCCAAGTGCCAGTGCATATGTAACCTACATCCGGTCAGAAGATGCCCTCAGAGCCATACAGTGCGTCAATAATGTGGTGGTAGACGGCAGAACACTGAAGGTGGTAATATTTCTAACAAACCTAGAAATACACACATAGTTCTAGCACACTAATATCAGGGATTAGTATACAGCTTGCTTTGTGTGGATATGCTTGTATTGCTGAATAAGAATGTCCAGTGAATTGGCTTTTGACTTCTTTTCCTGATATTAATCTCAAAATGGAAATTCAGTGAGCATCCAGCATGCATTATTTTGGTGGGTTAGCAGATAAATTCTTAAAACAAAGTTTGAGACTAATATGTATCTCCTCCCTGTACTCACAGTGGCTTTTTTTATTGTATAGCATAAAACAGTATGAATGCCCACTGTTTGCTTTTACAGAACATTTCTGTAGTCCATACACTACACCTCTCAAAAGCTCCCTGGGAAATCAAAGTTTTTTTTCCTTTTGGTGTCTGTGTAAACAGGTGTTCAGGCTGATTGGACCAAATTAGTGGCAATAGAAAATCTAGTTTCTGTTCATTTCCTGACCCTGTTATTTGTCTCCTTATGATTATGCAAATATTTATTGAGGCTCTTACTTAGGCATTTATTTAGACTGGATGAAAATAAAAATGCATTCCTAATTATCTAATCCTCAAGAATATATAGATTACTTACAAACTGACTTTTTATTCCATCTGCATCAAAAATGCATTGATGGAATTTCAAAATCTTGAGGTAATTAAAAAAAAAAAAAAAACTTTTAAAATCTTACATGTTTAGAGGCATTCTTAACCTCCAGTACTTAAGTTTTTTTTTTCCCTTCAGGCATCATTAGGTACAACAAAATATTGCAGTTATTTTCTAAAAAATATGCAGTGTCCAAAACCAGACTGCATGTATCTACATGAACTAGGTGATGAAGCAGCCAGTTTCACAAAAGAAGAAATGCAGGTAAGTGGAGTGATTGGGAAACACGTGAAAAGTGGCATGTATGTTTTACTGTCTATGATTTAGTGTAATATGTGTAATGTGTTTGCTGAATGTTATGGCAGCAATGAATTTTGAAATCCAAAAAGTAATTAACCAGTTGGATATTGCAAACAGCAGTTCAGTTTTTTCATTGCATGCTGTTTTTAAAGTCAAGAAATCCGGTGAGTATTCATGAGGCAAAAAGATGGTGATAAACTCTTAACCAAGAATTCAAATAACCTGAACTAACTGCTTTTTCTTTTTTCATACTAAATTAAGGTAGTGTCATTTTAGGTCTCTGTGAACCTAAGTTAGTGCAGGTCTGGGTTTTGCTGTAAAATTCCTGTGTGGACAGTTCTCATGGATTGACGCTTATGCTGTGTCTGACCGTGTTGTCTGAATACTGATAACCCTTCTAGCCTGTGAAGTGTTTAGAAACCCTTTACAAATAAAATGTTGAGGGTAACTATAATGGCACGTAAAAAAAGATGCTGAGATTTTTTTTTTTAACCATCTCAACATCAAAATGCTTATCTAGGGTAGGGAACCAAATAAATGGATAGCTTTACTGTTTCAAATGCAGCACATTCTGAGGCCTTTTGGTCTGCCTTAATCTTTCTACATGAGATATGCTAGCCTTGCATCCGTCATGAGTAATTTTTGCATGTGATCTCTCCCTGAACCGGAGGATCCCCACTCTTAGTGCCAGCACGAATGTTGTTCTAGTAGAATTTTTTTTGATGGGTTAGGCTGATGTAAGCTGGAGAATAAAGAAGAATGTCCATATCTATTAAATACTTTTCACAAATTATTTCTGAGAATTTCAGCTGTTAATTGCAATAGAAGGAGAAATTCAAGGCCAAGTTGCAAACCAGGCCACCTTCCCTGTTTGTTTCCCTGTATTTCTCCCATCACCTAGTTCTGTTACAGATACATGTTTGAGGGTATGTTCCTGTCTAGTCTTTTTAGTTTTTTATGGACCTGTCAGCCATGAATTAATTTAATCCATTTTGAACGTGTTGATACTGCTAGCCTTTTAGTCTTTTGTGGCAGCAAGCCACAGAAATTCACTAGCTGTTTTGTAAAGTGCTTTCTTTTGCCTGTGTTCAAACTGCTAACTAGTTAGTTTTGTCAAGTGTCCCTTAATCTTAGCTTTGTGTAGTGCTTGCTGAAAGCAAAACCCCTTATTCACCTTATTCATTGCCTTTGTGATGTGGCAAAACTTGATCTAGTCTCTCCCAACTTTCTCTCCAAATCATAGTTTCTGGTCTTTAAAACTTCTTTTTAAAGCAGTTGCTCCACTTCTGTGATAATATTCATTGCCCTTCTCTGTATTTTCTAGCTGTGTCCTCCTTGAGATGCGGAGCTCAGGTGCATGATGTGGGGGAAGCCACATCAGTTAATTTATCAGTTCTCAGTGTGTTATATGTAGTGCTATATGTGCTTTTTTTCATTTTGTTTTAGTCTATTTGAAGTGGCCTTAGTGATGCCCAGTGCATCTTTTGTGGCTAGTGCATAATCAACTAACAGTTTCAGAGGTCTGGTGGCAGTAACCTCAGCATCTTTTTTCTGAGCTGTAACAGCCAGTTCACAGACGAGGAGTGGGTTACTATGGCCTAGACTGCTTTTCCCTTCTTGTATCATCTGACATGTCCTTGGTGAAGCTTATTTGCTGCTGCCATTTGCTTGTTTGACAGTTTCTCTGGGATTCTTTTGGAGCTCTTCATTATCAACATAGCAGTTTATTATACAAAAAGTTTGATATTGTCAGCAAATAACTTGTTTTTCAGTCCTTTCTCATGCATGCTGATGGTGTTGCATAGAACTGATGCCAGTCATCAGTCCTCATTGCTTGCTTCTGCACCCTAGGAGTTATACTTTGAACCATCTTCAATTCACACTCTTCCATGGCAGGTTAATAAATAACTGGTGTGAAACCTTATCAAAAACTTCTTTTAAAGTTTTGTGGAGCCTCTTAATTTATGCTTACTGACTCTATGAAGAATTCATATTAGTGAAGCATTGTTGCCCTTTACAAAAGATACTCCGATTCAATCCCAGTGGCTTGTGTTTATCCATGAACTTCTATTTAAAAAAAATATTGTTACCGTTATTAGTACCTTGTAATCTTTGGAAGGATGGAGGCTTACTTAGCAGCCTGTAGTTCACAGAATCTTTTCTGCAGCCCTTTTTGTAGCAGTCAGGGGCAAACTGTCAGTCCTCTGGCCTGACTGCTAGTTAAAATTGATAGGCTTGGTTTTCACATATGAGTTTGTTCAGAAGTCTTGAGTGGATTTTACATCATCTTGGTGACTTACATGAATCTTCCTTCCCTGTTCCTTGTTATATTGCTTAGACTTTTTTGAATTTCATATTGTTTTCTTAAAAGTAATTGGAAATTACACACCTGCTAAGTATATTGTTCTTTCAGTCTGCCAGCTTTCCTGCATTTGGGTTAGTGTCAGTGAACTTCTAGGTCCATTTAATGAGATTGCATGTTCATTGTTGCAGACTTTGACTCTATTTTTAAAAAAAATGTCAATGGATGAATTTGTATTCTAGGTTAAATAATTAATAGATCTAAATATTGTGGCAAAGTAAAAAGAATTGGTAGAACTCCAGAGAGTCTCGGAAAGTGAAGTTGGGAATTTTAGGTGGGTTGGAGATGCCAAATTTGGCCTCTGGGTTGTGTGTTATAAATAAAACACAATTACTGCAAGTACCTATATAGGATTTTAATCTTGTTTCTTTCTTGCATTTATGTGGCAAGTAAATGAATTTAAGACTGACCTCTGATGTACCTGGCTGTGATATTCAGTCTTTAGTTACTGAAGCAAGTTGAGAGATCCAGAGAGGTTTCTTCTTACTCAGCTGCTTAATGTTTGCAAATCATTAATTGTGCAAATCTGTGCATCAGCCTAGTTGCTACAGTCATAGTTGGATGGTGAAAGAAGCATTTCCAGAATACAGAATATCTCAAGGTTAGCATTTAGATGAGCCATATTTTAGAACCACACTTTTTCCTACTATAGGTAGCAGCTTAGGTGTAGACACTGACAAAGTGGGCAAGATGATGCATACACCAGATGTTTCAATCCTTCTTGAGAGGTGTATAAGTTGACTACATAAGGATGTGTTCAGAATCAAACTTGTGGAGAGCTGGAGAGTTAAGTAGCAGAAGAATGGAGGCATTGATAGGGTTTGACCTGAAGTATTCCAGTGAGATATGCAGTTGGCCTTCTACAGGTACATATAAGGGGAATGTAGTTTATCAACAGTAATATTTTTTTGTATTTTGTCTATTCATGTTTAATTTAAAAAAAGTTATATTTTTATTTTAGGTTGTAAAATTTTTCTAGGGGTGTATCCACGTTGCACTAATTTCTTTCTTGTTCCAACAGAATATTAAGGAATTAATGTAAAAAAAAGTTAAATTTTATATGTACAAGTAGTGAGAAGTGTGAGAGCTTTTAAATCAATACTGAAGATGTGATAGATAATAACTTCAGTGTTTCAGACTTAAGATTCAGAAGACCTGACCATAAATCTTGGCAGTTGTTTCCTTTGCTAGAGGACATCTTCTAGTACCTGGAAACTGTAGAGAAAAGCTATTAACAACTTCAAATTCACTGTTTTATTTTGCATCTTTATTCAACTCATAACAATACTTAACTTGTAAGTAGTAATTTTTAGGTTGGAGTGTCATAACCTACAAAAACCATGACTGCTCATCTTGAATTTCAGTTTTTACTTTAAATGTCAGGGGTAGGAATAGATCTTGCTGGTTTTGGTTTTTTTCTTAAGCCACAGAATGTTATTTGCAAGCTAGACTGAGAAATACTCTCTTCCTTCACTTCCCAGATTCTAGTACACTGGAGTTGGATTGGACCTCCACACTTTTTAAAAGCAAGAAGTTTTTCTCAATTGATTCAAATTGCTGAAAGAATATTTCAATTTTTGAGTTATTAAGTGATTTCTTAATTATTGCTTAGAATGTATGGCTTATATCATACACCTCAGCTGTTTTCTTAAGCCAATATAAAATTACTCTCATTTTGGAAGAACGTTTTGTTTAAAAGAAATTCTTTGTTCTTTCCCATCTTTTGAAAAGCTTAGTATGGTTGAAATAGGAAATGCAGACTGCCTTGGAGATGTCACTGTTGGTGGTTTCATTGGTGTATTTGTGAAGCTCTTGATTAGAACTGAGGAGCAAGTTCTAATAAGGTTGTAGGTGCTTTTCTGCTTTAGAAGTCTCAAAAAATTAAAAATAGATAGGTACATCCAAGTGATTTCTAGGCAAACTTCTCTACAGCCATTGAGATCACATCTGTGCTGAGAGAGTGAGAATCGCTGTTTTGAGTTTGACAGGAGTGACCTGATAAGTTGTAAAGGCTAAATTACTAAGCTTTGGGACATTTTACATACATGGGCATATTATATATATATATATATAAAAATTATGGCTATAAATATATGTATTAAACCAGTATTCATTCATTATGAGTTTCTCTTTCCTTAGGCGGGTAAGCACCAAGAATATGAACAGAAACTACTGCAAGAATTATACAAATTAAACCCCAACTTTCTCCAATTATCTACGGGTACAGTTGACAAGAACAAGAACAAAGTGACAGCACTGCAGAGGTATGATGTGTAAGTAGTGATAGTGATGCTGGACTGCCTGGTTATTCTTTTTGGCTATTCCAAAGAAAACTTTTATTCCTATTTGATCCCCCAAATTGCCTGCTGGTTTTAGCACCTATTATATGATAAAATATAATAGGTTTTCTCTGTGGAGAGATGTATTGTTTAGGAGTGATATTCTCCAACTTAATGCTCCCTCTGAAGCCACTTCACACTCCTCCACCTTGCCCTCTCCTGTACTGGGCAGGAGAGAAGAATTAGAGGCATAGAAGGTAAAGATCAGAACAATTTACTGGAAACAGCAGTGAGATAAGAAAACAAAGTAGTAATAGCAACAGTACAATTGACAGAAGGCACAAGGGTCAAATGGTTCACAAGTGATTGCTCACCCATGGAAACCCCCACAGTATTCCCACTTCCTCTGCTAGGCTATGCTGACCCATAAGGGAGCTCTTTGGCAGTCCCCAGAAAATGACTTGGGTGGTATAAAGTTGGTGCCTCCTTGTCCTAGCCATGCCTTCCTGGCTACTGCAGAAATTAACCCTGTTCTGGCTGGAACCAGGACACAAACACCACTTTGTTCTAAAATTGAGTGTGTGTCTTAGGAAAGAAATGTTTTTCCATTTGGATCAGTAGTTCAGAGCAAGATATTTTGAAAGAAGACCTTCTCTTTTATATTTGCAAAACCAAAGGTATTTGTTAAAGGCCAGATGTCTACTTTCTTAGTATAATGTCATTATGAATGCAGTCTGTACTTTTGTATCAGAGATACATTATAACCTTAATATGCTTTTTTACATCGTGATTTATAGTGCAGTCCATGTATATTTTACTATGTTGTAATTGCAGATGTCACTTATTTATTATGGCTTGCTAAAATAATGTTCCATTGAAGTAGTTTGTTCAGTAAGTTGTGAAAAGATTTGTCCATATGGATATATAGTCACACAAAGATAAACGAAAGTCTGAGGTTGCCAGTCCTTAATTATTCATTCAAATGTCACATTTAAGATAAAGAAATAAAAACTGTTGACAATTTCTTCCACTCTTTTTTGTTGGATTTTGATAAAGGAGGTCACAGAGTAGAATGTGAAAGATCGCACTTCATATGTACCTTGGCCTTGTATTCAGGGTTTGTGTTGTGTGCCAGTTCATGCACTACTGAATTTTTAGCAAGAAAGTGGGTACTGTATCTAAAATATTGTCAATGGCTCTTCAATGATTAGAATACAATTCTGAGAACTGGTATTCCAGCTGGTGCACTGGGACTAGTATCTTTAATTTCATATGCACTTTGACTGCAGGCCTTCCAGAGGGATCTTTTCTCTTAAGGACAGAGCTGGTTCTTACTTCTCAGGCACTGGTTCAATATTGACTTCAAAGATGAAATGCAGCAAGCAAAATGAATACACTGCTTCTTGAATTTGGGTATTGATTATTTTATCTGAACTAATTTTAATTTGAAACCTAATTAGATCCCAGCAAAACAAATTATACCAGTACAGGAAGAATGCACTATCTGAAACTGCAGCAAACTTTTAAGTCTTTAGGAAGCAATTGGTAGTTGCAGCTTGGCCAGTCTGTGGTGCTAACATTTAGCACTTAGGGAAAAAATGGCATGTTACTCTAAAGGCAGCAAATAGTAATTTCTGGAGGTAATTTCTCTTGTCAGTTGAACAGCATAATCACAGCACAATCACAGCACAGACTCTTCTTTGCTAACACCTGGGTACCACTTTTAGGGTTGCAAAGTGAATTTCTTGAAGCTAGGATTTTGACATGTTTTGTCAAGACCCATCTCATCAGTATAAAATGTAGCTTTTGCACTGGTGAATGCACATTGCATCACCGTTTCTATTGAATTGGGTTATTGTTAGGATTATTTATGTAGGATTAATTGATATGATACTCATATTTCTAGCGGTTTGTCACAGCCTTTGACAACTCTGAAGTGGTTCTTGTATTTCTGGGGTGCAGAATTTGTGTTTCATAATGGAATGGAACAGAAGTTGAGTTTGAAGTAGTAGATCTTAATTAAAAATACCCAGTAGTAGAAAACAGTTAAACTCTGATAATTGTTTTTCTACAATTGTTTTAATTTGAAAGGTCCTACTTGTAGACCTTTTCTTCCTGCTGAAGGCAACTGGTAAAATCTCTTAGGGCCACTCATCTCTTAGTATGGATAGTCATGGTGACTGTATTCTCTTAAAATTGGAGATATATTCCACGTTTAAAACAGATCAAGCTTTTTTTATTTTCTTGATGACATTTTTCTGAAGAACTGAAATGATTGCTTTCTTATGCTACAAGAAGAACCAAGCAAGTGCTGATCTTTTAGACAACAGTTCTTCAGAGACATGCAGCCTGAACTTAACTAAAACAAAAAAAACCCTCACATGCCCAAACCCTCCCACCTCAAGACATAAACTTATTTGTTTCCCTTTCTCCTTGGATGCAGAACTGACTTTTAACTGGTGTTTTAAAGTTAGTTTTAGTATAGAGATGGCTTTGTGCTGTAATGAACATAAACTTAGATATTTAAAATAAATCTGTTAATGGATTGACAATTTTGATATATCTAGATTTCAGTTCATTTTTGTACAAGTGAGACTATTAAATGGCAGATACTCTGCTGCTGTGTCTTCATTCCCTGATGTTCTGTATCTGATCAACTCACTAGCTCTAACTTAATCCAAGTGTGTGCAAAGCCAAGATGTGATCTGTAAATCAGGTCAAGGTACTTGTCTATGTACATATTGTATAGGTAGTTAAGAAAAAATGGGTACAGAATAGCAAATCTTAAAATACTGAGATTTGAAGGGAGCTACTATTACTAATGTTATCTGAATAGAAGTAGGAAACGTTTGTGTTGCTATAAGCAGTTGCTGAAATTTTCAGATTCTGACTGAAATTAGTAAATTGACCTAAAGATGTAGGGCAAATGTTGGACCATGTAATAGGAACATACTAATGTAGGGGAGCATCAGAAGGGACATACATGTTAAAAATTTTTTTTTGGTGAAAGTTGCTTCCTTATGAAGACAGGACTTGGACATGCTCCTAATAGAAGCAATGAAAAGCTACAGGTAATGCAGAAGAACTCGAGAACACAAAAGCAGGTCTTTTATAATAAGATTGCAGGCTTAGCAGACAACACTGTATTTGAATCCGTTTGGTTATAGACTATATTCCATTTTGCTTAAATTTGTACAGAATGTAAGTATTGACAGCAAAAACTTGGACTTTGAGTCCTCTCTTGAACTTTTTTCAGATCTGCTATTACTTTATAAAAGGGAAGTAATCATGGCTTTAAACTAAAAATGAAGGGAGCAGTAACTTGAACAGTGTGATTGTCTGGCTGGTCCTACGGTTTGTTAGTAAAGCTGTGGACACCTGTGTAGGTCTAAAGCATAAAACTTCATCTGTTGTGGCCAGGCTTTATAGAACCTGGAATATAAGACATATATTAAAAAAAGAATGACTTAGCTCATGACTTACAGAACTTAAAAATAGTATGGGCTAAAGCAAGTAATTTTAAATTAGGTATGCAGAGGTCTGGACACTTGAACTATTGATGGCATTTTTCATTTTTATTTTCATTTTTTTCCTCTCCCTCAAACGGGCAAGTTTGGAGTTCAGCATTGGCAAAGCAGCTATCTATACAGGAAAGAGAACAGAATTCCCTCTGGTTTTCTCTCTACTCTACCTATGCCACTAATTATTTTTTCAAGTCATCACCATTTAAAATCTGAAAAATAATATCCAGATAAGTCTATTCTTATAGATTGTCTGGCACAAGGATTTATTTCCCCAGTGTTTACAATTTTTAAAACACTTTCTTCATAACTTGAGCTCTTCTATTTTTTTTTTTTTTTTTTTTTTTTTTTTTTTTTATTTTACTCTTGCCTTTTTCCAGACCCAACAGTAATAACAAAGATGCCTGGCCATCATTACAGAGTTCAAGTAAATCAGCCAACGGTTTAACAATGGAACACAGGAAAACGCCTCCTATATTAGAAAATGGCACAGACCCAGAACACATGACTCCAGATGGTGCAGACTCAGATTTCGGGTAATTTGTGCTGCCTTTTATACTTCAGATAGCTTGCTTTCTCTCTCACCGACTGGTGTGGAGGGAATTATTCTTCAGTCTCTCTGGTTGGAGAGCTGGATATAAATCCTGATCAGGTCACAGAAAGCTGGGCTTAGTGTAGCCGGTGTTAAAAGGACTGATTGGCAGACTGTGCAGGAGAACCTTAACATGAAATTAATAAGTGGCAATACAGGTAATAGCTGTGGGAAACAGAATAACCAGAGAATCAACAGTTTCTATGGCTGCACAGTCCCAGTCAGAACTAAACCCTTCCTTTTTTTTTCTATACAGAAGCTTCCACAGAAGTAATGTGCTATTTGCTGTATATCAGGAGGCTTGTCACTTGGAAAAGCTTCAATAGAGGGAAGTTAAATGTTAGGGCTAAAATATCTGTCATTTCCTTCCAGTGATGTGTTCCAGAAACACAGCACAGAGGAAAGGGCTCCCCAGTTACCACTCAGAGGGACAACAGGCCAGCAGAGTCAACTGAGGCTTCTTTGTGTAGAGGAAGTAATTCATCTGCTTAGAATAATCTCTTATTGCCAGCCAACATTTTTCCTTTTTTGATGCCCTTCTTGAATAGGACTGGTGTCCTCTTCCACCTTATGCATCACTTTCAGTTACAATCTTAATCTCTAGTCATGCTGGTTTGTTCTTTATGGTTTAGGTAATAAACGTTAGGCTCATTCAGAGGTTGGACGGGAAAAACAAGGTAAACCCTAATATTTCAAGCAGTGGTGCTGCTGATTAGGTAGACAATCTTCATTTAAAATCAATATTGAACCAATGCATTAAAATGGAGAGTGTTACTGAAAGTGGTACCTTCTTGTTGGGCTAAATAGCAGTCCCATTGAGGAGTGATCAGAGAGCCTGTGAATTACATCTCAATAGTGATGTGCAATTCTTTTTTTTTTTTTTTTTTTTGTCCTGAAAAGAATGTATTTAATGTAAATAGAAATATTGTAGTCAATAGATAATAAGCCGTATTCATTCTTGAGAGCTGGGAATCTGTCTTGCAAATAGAGGCTCCTTAGGCAGGTTCAAGTATAATAAACATTTTCATCATTTAGATTGTCAGTAAAAGTTGTATTACTCATAGCTTTTTAAACTGAAGTATTATGACTGTTAGCTCTGTAGGAAAAGAATTTGACTGGAATATCACTTCTTCAATCAGAATTGATTGTGTAATGAAGAGCCTACACCAAGCTTCCATGGTATAGGCATTTAGAAATTACTAATCAAAAGCAGTGTGTTTCAAATGGAAGAGCTTTATTCATGCTGTTGGATCACTAACTAGAGAGTATTTGTAAATCTTCACTGGAGTAACACAGTGATTTTTTTCCTTTATAGTCATAAATATTTCAGCTTAATTTATCTGTTTGAGATACTGACTCTGACATTACCAAAAATGTATTGATGATTGCTCTTACACAGTTTCTCTTAGAATGGAGAAGTAATACTGCTGGGTTTCAATTCGTCATTTTGGGGTGAGGGGAAAAATTACAAGTGGAAGAAATCTTATCAATTGTTGACATTACTATATGGCTATATGCAGTAATTAAACTTTGCAGCTGCAAGGGCTGTTTGAAAACAAGGTGTATCCAGAATCTGAAGTCTGCACCCAGTTAAAATAAATTGTTACATATATTTTTCAACATCATGATTGTAATTTGATTTGTATCACATTGTGGCCTCTGAGTGGAACTGAAATTCATGTTCTTACTTGTGATGCTTGTTTGTAGAATCTGTGTATTGGCCTGTGCAGCCTGATGCTTGTGCATCTTTCCTCATGGGTAGATGAAAGACTACCTTGACATTGCAAAGCAAATATTTTAGTGTGAACTTCAATAATGCCATTTCATTAGTGAGGTATTTAACGTGATGGAGGCAGCTCACAGATGCCCATAAGAATCTTGAATCCTGAGATGTGCCGTTTCAGCCAAGTCACAATAATTTGCAGTGAATGGCTTTCTGAGGTGATTTTCTGCTGTATCTTATATTATCCTTATTTTTGGCAGTTTTTTATGCTATTTTTTTTCCCCTTCTGTCATTTCAAACCTCTATTTTTTTAACTTGGGACTAATGTCTGCAAGTTAAAATCATAAAGGCTTGTGGGAAGATTAACTTGCCACCGAGACTAAATCATTAATTTAATGTTTTATCTCTCCCATATTTATTTAGGATTTGTATGGAAACTGAAAACTTACGTGTTTGGAAAACAGATCTTTTCCAGTTTCTTTACAGTAGTATCATAGATGGAACTGTTACAAAACACTGTCATAGCATAGAATTCTGGGGTTTTGTATGGCATAGAGTTGCTATGAACATGTTCAAAACTTTTCTTTTGTTCCTTAAGGCAGTCAGCAAGCAGAATGGAGAGTGGTGAAAAGAACTATTACAGTATATGGCAAATGATTGGAATGCTTATGATTAAAAAAGCAGTCTCATAAAAAATAAATGGACTTTTTTCCTTCTTAATTCCTATTTCTTAATTTTTGTCTTTATTTTAAGGCTTTTCTTCCACTACAAAAGCAAATGTTGATTTTTCCTGTTAAATACTTGAGTCTCTTACTGTCTTTTTCCCTCCCACTTTTGCAGCCCTATTGATAAACCTTCAGATTCCCTCAGTATAGGAAATGGTGACAGCTCTCAGCAGGTAAGACACAAAGATAAGTGCTCTGAAAGTGGCAAGTGGGTTTGAGGATTTAGTGAAACTTGCAGCAGTTGGAGAAGCAAGTATCTTCTGAAGGGTATCATAACTGGGCATTGGAATGGGCTGCCCCAGGAGGTGTCTCTGGAGGTCTTTAAGAAAAGACTGGATGTGGCCCTTAGTGCCATGGTCTAGTTGACAAGGCGGTGTTTAGTCATAGGTTGGACTCAGTGATTTCAGAGGTCTTTTTCCACTCTAGTTAATTCTGTGAAAATTTAAAAATGCTATTGCTAAGTTGATTTTTTTAAATTTGATTTTGTGCTGAGCTATATATTAACAAACTTAATTGTGGCCAGAAGTTTTGAGGAAACTTTTCGTCTAAGTTAATGATGAATATTTTATATATAAACTCATGTTCTAATTTCTCTATTTCTCTCTTGCCTGTAGATAACAAACAGTGACACACCTTCACCACCACCTGGTTTAACAAAACCCAATCCAGTTATACCCATCAGTTCATCTAATCACAGTGCACGGTCTCCTTTTGAAGGGGCTGTAACAGAATCACAGTCACTCTTCTCTGACAACTTCCGGCACCCTAACCCCATCCCCAGTGGGCTTCCTCCATTCCCCAGCTCTCCACAGACTTCAAGTGACTGGCCCACAGCACCAGAACCACAGAGCCTCTTCACATCAGGTACATCCACAGGTTACATGGCTGGGTATTGCTTGCTTGTGCAATCGCTTAAAAGTTGTACAGAGCTTAAATCTCTAGAACCTAAAACTCTAGGACTTGTTCTATGCTGTGTTTTTTCCCCCTTACAAATGGTTAAAGTTTGTCACTTAACTGCAGATCAATTTCAATGACCTAAGGGTTTCTTCTTAAAGAAACTTTGCAGAGTTTTCAAGCTGCATGGCTTAATGATCAGAGTGCTTATTTTAGTTTTTCTTAACAACATGCATAGGACGTGACATGTATGCTTTGATATTTAGTGTTACAGGTTTTTATTGAGAGTGGGGAAAATACATGGTATCAGTATATATTGGTGTGATAATCTGTAATTCTAATATCAGAAGCTATTCTCTAAAATTCAGAATTTCCTTAGTATCCTGAATTACCTGACGGTGTCTAATCTTTCTGAGGTGAAATTGTATAAATTCAGGCAAACTGTGTTTAATTTCATAATCTGAAAGATACCTGTAATTTTTCATGTACTCTTCTATGAAATACCTTTTCATATGCATGAAACATGATTGTAGTTGTAATTATATAGTCCGAAAGTCTCTTGGGAATGGTGAACAGTATTTAAGAGCTCACAAATTATAAATCTGAGGGAACTGCTAGAAAACTAAATGAAACAATATCAGTAAAAAATTGAATGTAAATAATATGTTATGATATAGTGGTTTACTTAGTGATGAGTCATCTTTTGATGTTTATCTTGTTCCTGGATATCATAATTGTTTGTAAACAATATTTATTGCCAAGAAAATTTCTTTCTGCTAAGGTACTTGATGTACCAATTTTGTGAGGATTAAGAGGATTTGGATGACAATTTCCAGGTGGTAGAGATCATAGTTAGTATAAAGTGTATGGTTGCTGTTTAAATAAGAATGCAAAGGACAAGTTCTTGTTGGTCTAGCAACTCTTTATCATCATGGATTTTAGAGTGAAAATAGAAGTGTATATTTCTTCTTTGAAAGAATACTGAACCTTCTTAAAGTGGCAGACCAGGTCCCTGCCAGCAGAGGGAGTTAATGTTGTGATGCTACCCTGTACTTAGCAGCTTGCTTAACCACAATTTTGAGGAACAATAATGTGAAGATAGACCAGCATTCACTGAACCTGAATAAGAAACTGAACACAATCATGAAAAGAAGTAGTAACTGAAAATGAAGACAAATTCTGATAACTTCTTTTGCAACACTGCCTCAAAATATTTAACAGTATCTTGTAATGCAGTTTCCTTTTTTTATTTTATCATTGTGTCTCCTCCACAATTTGACTTGTTTCTCTTCATAATGGTAGAGAGTTGGGGATTTTTTGTGAGTTTTGTTTGTTATTGTTGCTTTTGGTTTTATTTTTTTAACTACTGCTCTGAGGTTCTTTCTTTTGAGAGGGAGCATCCTGCTCATCTTTTCTGCACAGCATTTGTAGCGAAAGCAAATATTGAGCTGAGTAATAACCTTTTCTAAATTCTGCTTGTTCACACTTCCATGAAGTAATATGGGGTAATGAAGGTTCTAAGCAAGTGGTCATTGGTCTCTTTCTACTTGTGACTATTCCTGAAAATACTTTCTGGAAAAGGTTTTTCTGTAGTTCAAGAAAAGAGCAACCGTGCAGTAAAAATGTTGTTTGCTACTTCTAGCACTTGACCATTAGTAGAAGTCTGTGACAGTTTGATCTGAAAATGGGGAACGTGTAAAGTAGTAGTATATGAAAGATAAAAGACCACAGTCAGATATACAAGTTGAAGTTTTTATATGGAAAAATGATTTCTAATTCTGGTTCTAAATCCTGTTCCTTTCTTCTCCAACAGAAACTATACCAGTATCCTCCTCCACAGACTGGCAAGCAGCTTTTGGGTTTGGTTCCTCCAAACAGCAAGAGGACGACTTAGGGTTTGATCCCTTTGACATCACCCGCAAAGCCTTAGCAGACCTGATTGAGAAGGAACTGTCAGTCCAAGACCAACCTTCCCTTTCGCCCACATCTCTTCAGAACCCTACCCCACACACTACAACTGCCAAAGGGCCAGGTTCTGGATTCCTGCATCCTGCTGCACCCACAAATGCCAACTCTCTCAGTAGCACCTTTCCGGTCATGCCACAGAGGTTTCCACAGTTTCAACAGCATCGAGCAGTTTACAACTCCTTCAGTTTTCCAGGCCAAGCAGCTCGCTATCCTTGGATGGCCTTCCCACGCAATAGCATCATGCACTTGAACCACACAGCAAATCCCACCTCAAATAGTAATTTCTTGGACTTGAATCTCCCACCACAACACAGCACAGGTCTGGGAGGGATCCCTATATCAGGTAGGTGAATAGGGACAGTGGCGATTATGACTTAATTCATGCTCTCAGCTTCTCTGAGTCAGAACAGGAAAAGGAAATAGCCAGCAGCAAGCAGCAGATTGTTATCTCTTGACTGTCATACTATATTATGAACAGAGGGAAGAATATTGTTTTAAATAGGTCCTTTGTATTAAAAAAAGTAACCGATATTTAGCCTTGTAAATATTGAGCTTTATAAGGAAGGTGGAGTATTATGTGCCCGCTTAATTCTGTGCCAAAGCAGATTGGTATTTTGGTTCTTGCCAGACTGGCTTTATTTAAAAATAGGCCCTGGAAGTGCATTGTGACTTTCATGTTGGCATGCAGGTGTCGACCAGAGTTCTTAAAGTCGTGCAAAAAATTGTAATGATGGTAATTTGTGCCAGATGTCTTGGCTGGGTTGTTCCCTCTTGCGCATAACCGAATGGCTGCACAATAAAACATTCAGTGTTGTTCATTTCTGTACTTCAGATGGCCTTAATATTATGCTAATCTTCACTGAATGGATGCTTGCAATGTGTGTAAGAGGATTCATCCTGATTCTGAGGGTTGTGATGGAGAAAAATAAATGTGCAGTCAGGCCAGTTTAGGCTGCCTTGAGTGGATTAATAGGCTCTTGCATCAAACATTACGACTAAGGAGCTAATTGTAACAATAATTGTCTTGATTAAAAATTCACTTCTGGAGTTTGAAGTCCTTCCATACTTCCAATTTAGCTTGTCCCAAACAGATTCTCTTCTTGTAACAGAGGAAAAAGTTGTATTACATGAGTAATGAACTGCAGGTACAAAGTCTCTGTTAGCTCTTTGTAGCCTTGAGGTGGAAAAAACTGCTCCTTGAGATGTTGCCAGCATTATTTTCTTTTCATGAGTTTTGCAAGTACTAGCTTTACTATAAGGAAGTGACCTAGGAAAATTTAGTGTTTTTTTGATGCTGTGGTACAAGAACTAATTTTGGCTGTTACTTTGCTGTATTTTGTTTTCTTTGAAGGCTTGTTGCAGCTGCTGTACTCCTGTAGGGTCTTTAGGCTGATTCAAATATAAACATGATCCATACTACAAATGCAGGTAGTTCAAAACTCTTTATACTGGCAGTGGCAAAGTTTTAAGCCTAAAATGACTGATACTGGTTGCACAAAAAAAATAAATTGTTTCTGGTGTGGAGTAACAAAGTACTGCTCCAACAAATCCACAGCTGCATTGTTGCTCCCTTTCCCCTAAGCTACATAGAACTTTCAGAAAAACAACAGGATATCACTTTTCAACTCTACCACTCAATTGTAAGAACTTCTACTTTGAGGGGTCAGTAACAAGACTCTATTATGGCCTGGGGGACCAGAAAAATCCTTTAGTGTTGAAAAAGATATGTTCATAGTACAGGTTGATTCTAGGTTTGCAAAAGTATTGCATTATTTCAATTTTAGTTAGTTTGAAAGTGAAGCTTTTTGTGTTTGTAGAAGACTTGTACATATTTTTTTCAACTTCTGAAGAGCAGGTTGTGTGGTACACACAGCCCAGGCCATGTACTTCCCCCATATGTTTTAAGGTAACAGAATTGATATTTAAGTATGACCTTTATTTAATGCAACTGCTACAGCCGATTAATCTAAAAATGTTTTTGGCAAATACCATGCTAAAAGCAAAATAAACATCTGCTGTAGTAACCGTGGAAAGTTCCTTTGCATTGGTTTTAATCTCTTCTTATAGAAAACTGTTAGTTGACTGGCTGACAATTAGATAGCAGTTGCTGCAGTGCAAACAATTCTCAGCTGATATACGTCAGCTTTGATATCTCTTGAAAAAAGAGTAATTTGCACAAGGATAAATTACTCCTATTTATTTTCCTGCTGCCAGAAATCAGCTGAAGTCTCAGTTCCGGTTTAGTTTGCTGGGTTATGGATTTGTATTATTTTTATTTATTTTAGTGCTCTAACTGCTTCATAAGTACAAATAATTTGAAAGTCAGGAGGTGACTTTTTTTTTTAAATCTGCATCTATAGTACAGGTTTCTCAATCCCTTTTATATCCGGTTTGAAAAAGTAATTCATGTTCTTTGTTTGTTTTTAATCTATCAGTAGCAAGTATTTAATGACAGAATTTTCCTACTTTCCTCATGTAATTTACAGATACATGTGTCTGGTGAAGTTGGAGAAAGAAAGTCGTGTCCAAGTACAGAGAACTCACGTGTATAAGACTTTTTGTAGTAGTTTATAACAAATCCTAGCTCACCTGTTAGGCAGTGCATATCATAACAGCTGTTAAGCAGCATGGAACAGTTAGCTCTAGTACACCTGAAGCTCCTTTTTCTTGGCTCTTTTTTTAGTCCATATTAGGGTGTTCTAGTAAATGTTACCAACTTGGCTGGTTGAGATTTAACAGGAAAAGAAACCAAGTGCAGGTGAAACTTCACATTTCTGTCTTGTAGCAAAGACCCTCTACTGCTGTAAAAGCCTCATGTTTCTTAAGGTCTTTGATCACAGATTTTTACAGGATTATAAATTCCTAAAGTAGCTAATACTGGACCAGTTACTGGTAAAAAAAAAAAAAAAAAGCAGGGTGAGAACAGGCATATTAATCTGTGTCTGCCTGCTCTGTGTAATCAACCCTTTTGAAATTTTTTATTTATGTGAAAACAAGCAGATCTAATAACTTCTATAAATTAATATCTTAGTATAATATTTTCTAGGCTCTCTAAATTTGAGTTGGTTTCACTAAGTGTATTTGTGGTATGGAAGCTTCTATTAAGAAAATGGTATCTTTTAAACTGCTGCCATTTCTGCTTTAGGCATTATTATTCACATGAATTTTAAATGCTTGTGTGTGACATGTCAAATGTAATTTGCTGAAATTGCCTTTTGTTTATTTGAGAATCAGAGCTGTGCTGTATTCATAAGCTTACAGCTTCAGGCAGAGCTGTTCTGTGATGTGTACCCAATTTAAATGGAGGAACACAGGCACTACCTACATTTTGTTTAAAATTAAGCTCTCACTTAAAAATAATTTCTGTGTGGAATTTGGTTGCTTATTTCTCAGAGGAAGTAGCATTTATTAACTAATTCTGTGGTTTCTAGTGAAATGACACAATGACATATGATTGACTTCATAGATTTATTATGCATGTACTTGAAATGTGTCACATTCATCAGGCACGCATTTGTCCCCAACCCATATTTAAACGAACTTTTTGATTGATTGATTGATTCCCAAAGTAATTTTTTTCCTTCCCTCACTGTATCATTTTTCAAACTGTAGTAGATGTTTCACGTTGTCATTTTCAGGGACAGTTCAAGCTTATTGCTGCTCTCTGAAGTGGGATTGATTAGATGGTTTACTGCGAAATTATAAACGTGTAACTGTGCTTCAGGAGGAAAGTTCAGTGAACTTCTTCATGGACAGTGTGATTGTTGCTACAAGCAATCTTACCCTAGATTGTATGCAAGCTATCCTAAGAATATTGGCCAGCAGCTATGCTTTGTTCTGCAGATAATGCCAAGGGAAAGATTGATTTACTGGCAGCAGTGTGGGTAGATGTGTGCCTTTATTTTTATTTTGCTATAGTATAACAGGAAACTCTTTGTAATTTGATAGCTAGTACACTGTCATCTTTGCTATCCTACTGCCTGATAATGTGTTCAAAAATAATAGGTATAGTATGGGATCATAGAGTAAGGTAGGATTCAGATTAAGTGTGTCTTGAGACAGATGCTTGCAAAATAAGATGTATGCATATTAAGTTGAAAATAGAAATATCTAGTTTTATTTCTTGAATTTACTGAATGGTTGGTAGTCATTGATTTTGTTACATAGAAGTACAGTAACAAACTCACAAAGTTAAAAGTATTAGGAAAAAGTGAAAAATGGTTAGTCCACTTTCCCTATCAGATCTGTGCAAGATGAAGTACTTGACATTTTGAAACACTGGCTATTACTTAATTTATTAGTTTCATAATTACCCTGAATGCAAAACTTACTTGTAAACTCCCTGTAGTCCATAATAATGAGGTAGTTCAAACTCTTCCAAGATTGTTCCTACACAATAATATGTATATATATTCTTAAAAAAAAAAAAAATTGAAACTTCTGAGTTGGAAAGGACCCACAAGGATCATCAAGTCCAATTTCTGACACTGCACAGGGCTGCCTAAAAATTAAATAATATGTCTCAAAGCATTGTCCAAATGCTTGTTAAACAGGGGCAATTTATATGTATCATACATATATTAAAAATCTAAATTAAAAATAGAGGAAAGAGTCAAGTGGAACAGATATGAAGCATAAATAATTAAACCCTATTTAGGATGGGGAAAAATGTTTTATTCATTGTCTTTGAAGATAACCATTGTGAAGTTCATCAAGATATGTTAACCATGCAGCTGACCAGTACAGAAGCTGCCATAGCTTTCTGTGAGCTGATCCTGATATTTCAGAACATGAGGGTTGAATGTAATAAGTCTGTTTAACAGAATATAATGAAGAATCAAAATTTCATTCTCTTAAGAACCTTTTCATTTTGGTGTTGTGGCTTATATCTGTTGAAAATGTGCATCCTTATTGATGTTATGTATATTTAAAGATGACACAATAAATGGGTGGACAGCGCTGTTAATTCTGGGTGTCCCCCAGCAGTGTCTGTGGTAGTGGTGTTGCATTCCTTGTCCACAGATTAACATGCATGTTTTTATGTCATGGCTGCATTGAAGTTTTTGTGAAGCAGTAGCTGGTAGCAGAGAGGACAAAGCAATGAAGTTTGATTAAGGAGGTCCAGCATCTTTAAGTACTGAGCTCTTCCATTTCTGAATGATGATGTTGCATCTTCTGCTGGTTTAAATTTTCTGGCCTCTATGTCCCCAGCCATTGAACTTGTCTTGAACATCGAATCCTTTCTTGCCTAATGCAACCTTTTGGACAAGATTTTAGTAAGGGAAGGATATATAGGGAAGATCTCTATATATTGGCTGTGGTTACATTATTTAAAGACTATTT